GGTGGGGGGGACAAAGCTAGGCACCAGGTCACCCCCACTCACCGTTGGCACAGCTCCGGGGCCGCAATCCCCTGGCAGGCGCCCTCTGAAGGTCGGCCTTGACTCGGGGCCGGCTCAGCCCCCGGTCCCTGTGCAAGGCGTCCAGGACGTCGCTGACCAAGTTCACCAGGTGAGCCATGTGGCTTTGGCTCTCAGACAGAAGCTGTGGAGCACAGGGGTGATCAGAGGGGGCAAGGGTTCCGGGGGCCACACAGTATGATTCCTGCTGGCAAGGTGGGCTCCTGGTGCAACAGCAGGCCCTGCCCTGCTCAGGCCCCGATCCAAGGCGGCTGAACTTCCCCATGCTCAGTTTCCTCCTCTGTGAGCCAGAGTAACAGGACCTGTGGCTCCGGGTTCATGACATCCTGTGTCGGGGGCCTGAGTGCTCAGTCGGTGTCCTCCGTATCCTTCCCACTGCCCGTGGCCACCCTTCCCACCACCGAGGACCAGAGGTGTGCGTGTAGCTCAGCGCAGGGCTGTCCCCGGGACCTCGGGACCTTGGCTGGGCCTGAAGGGTCTGGGGTTTGTTGCGTCCCCTCCCTGGGCTCCGGGAGGCTGCAGGACCCCGAGGAGGGGAGGCTGGTCATGCGGTCTCGGTCATGCAGGCCCCCAGCCAGCCAGAGGGCGTGGAGCCTGCTGGGTCTTCACCCACCGAGCCTGTCGGCTGCCAGATAATAGCTAGTTCAGGGAAGGAAAATAGAAATACACTGTGCAGGCAGTTTACAAAATGCAATTCCCGGCTCATCGGCAAACAGCGCCTGCAAAGCTGTTACTTTCCCTCCGCTGAGCAGGTGATTCAGCGAGGCCGCGGCCTGGGGGGTGAGCGGCGATGGGCAGGGTGCGGGCAGGGTCCCTCCTGCCGGCGATGTCCCCCCTCTCCCCCGGCTTCCGTGCAGCGCCAGGCAGACGGGCCCCTGGCAGGCGGGGCCTGCAGAGGCAGGCGGGCAGCCCTCGGGGGGCGGGGCACCGATCACCCGGCTCCCTGGTTAAGCCTCTGGGGCCCTGCCCATGCTTCCAGACGATGCAAAGGCACCAGGAACTCGGGCACGGCTCGCTCTTGCTAAGAGGCAAGGAAGCCCTCGGTTTAAAGCAGCGAATGATGAAAGTTGAAACGGAGGTACAAACGTGGCCTGAATTAATGGGGAAAGTCAGGCCCTGCCGGCCGAGCGGCGCGGATGCGTGAGAGAGGACCCGGCAGCTCCCAGAGGCCGTGAAATCGGAGCTGCTGGCGGCCCTGAGACAAGGCACCGGCCACACGGGGCCTCCACCTGCCCCTCCGTGGAATGGGGCTGCGATCCCAGGCTCCTGCTCATTAGCACACAGGCAGGCCCAGCGCGCGGTCACTACCACTGCTCTTGGTTAATGCTCACCGAGGACCTTTTTCCCGTTGATTCTTAGAGTGGAAGGGGCGGGAGCGGGGGGGAGAAAGAAACATCGATGTGTCAGAGACACATCAGTTGGTTGCCCGCCGCATGTGTTCCGACTGGGCCCGGGGGTCGAACCTGTAACCCAGGTACGTGCCCTTGACTGGGGATTGAACCCTTGACCCTTCGGTGCTTGGGCCGACACTCTGACCACTGAACACACCGGCCAGGGCCATCACTGCTACTGGAAAGGGGGTTTCCAGTGGGGCTCCCATGGCTGAAACCTCAGGTACCAACAATTTCCACCATAATAATGAAAGATGCCGCTGTGGAGACAGCACCGCAGGTGNCATAATAATGAAAGATGCCGCTGTGGAGACAGCACCAGGTGCTGGCCAAGCCCTGTGCAGTCAAGGGCTCCGGCGCCCCGTCAGGTGTGGGTTACCTTATCCCCACTTACAGGTGAGGAGACCCACCCTGGGAGGGCACAGGACATGCCCAAGGCCCCACAGCTGGGGCTTCAGCTCTGAGGGCAGCACCCCCAGGTGCGTGCTGAGCTGCTGGCACCTGGGGAGTTTGGGGTGAGCTCCCGAGATGCCTTCTAACAGGAAGACCCCGCAGCTCTGACAAGGGTGCCCTTGGGCACTGCTTTGAGAAACCCAGGTCTAGGCTGACCAGCTGAGGTTCTGGGAAGTGTGGAGAGAAGCTGGGAGCCAGGTGAGGACATGTGATCCCTGAAGTCACCCCGTCTCTTGGGAAATGAGTCAAATTAAACATTGCTTTGAAAAGTACATGTATCAGGTGAGCCAAAGCACCGCTGGGCCCAGGAAAACTGCTAGTCTCGTAGGAGCAGCTCTGGGCCTCTCTTGGGTGGGCGGTGGAGGCCCTGAGGCCCCTCCCCAATCCTCCACTCCAGCCCTAAGGGTGAGGGCTCTGTGGGCCAGGCCTGGCTAACCAGGGGTTGAGCCACGGGGAGAGCAAGGTGGAGGACCCGGTTCACCCAGAAAGTCTGGAGGTCCCCTGAGCCTTGCAGATGTGCCGACGGTAGGGTGGTGGTAAGGCGGCTGAGCACCCAACCCTGCCTCACCCGGGAAGGGAAGCCGCCTGCCCGTCAGTCACCCAGACAGGATGGTGAGCACTGTAATTTCTCCAGCTGCAGCCTTCGGCGCAGGGAAGAGGCCCACTGCTCATGTGCTGCTGTGTGACTGAACGCCTGGTCATCCCAGGTGTCCGGGAGGGGCTGGGGTGCTGGTGGGGGTGGGGCTTGCCTCCTAGTCCTTAAGGACCCGAGTCACAGGGTGATGGGGTGCAGGCTGGAGGCTGGGTAGGGCCCCGGGAGGCCAGATGCCAGGCCGGACCTAACCACTGTAACCTGGATGAATCCCTGTCCCATTCTGGGCCTCAGCTTTTTCTAATGGAAAATGCTGGGAGGCCAATGAGATGCTCCTAAACCCCCAGTCCCGTGAGGGGGAAAGTTCTTGCTGTGCTCCAGGCGTGGTCAGTTGGAACCTGTTCACCCAGATCTACCCGGCGCTTCCTGGGACCTGGCCTGGCTCGGGGTGTGGGGGGTTCAGAGGTGCTGGGGACAAGCTGGGGTTCTGGCTGGGCCCCCTCACTGGTCCCTCCTTCCCTGGACAGCTGGGATAGTGAATGGGGGGTAGATCTGGGGAGTGGGTGCAGCTCTCTGGCCATGTGGCACTACAAAGGGCTTGCCACTGACCTTGAACCTCAGTTTGCTAGTGAAGGTCATGACCAGCCTCACCAGCACTGAGCACCTGGGAGGCCCAAGCCCTGGATTTGACCTGACTACTGGGTGCTACACGAGTACCCGGGACAGTGTGCAGGGCACAGTTTGAATCCTGGAACCATTAGCTGTGTGGCCTTGGACGAGAGGCCAACCTCTCTGAGCCTCATCTGCCCGTCTATAGGAATAGCAACAGCCCCTGGTCCTGGGGCACTTGGGGACTCAGTGAGGCCATGGACACCAAGTGCCCAGCACAGGGCTGGCACACAGTGGCAGCAACCCCCCCTCCCGCCAAGGCCTCAAGCTTGGGCCCTGCCCCTTACCTGGATGAGGTGGGCCTGCTCGCTCTGCAGGGTGCTGAGGCCCTGGCCCAGCGAGCCGTGCCCCTTCCGCAGCCCCGTGCACTCCG